GGGTTTAGTACTTCGGGCTTAGGGTTTAGGGGTTTAGGGGTTTAGGGGTTTAGGATTTAGGGGTTTAGGGGTTCAGGGGTTTAGGGGTTTAGGGGTTTAGGGGTTTAGGGTTTAGGGTTTAGGAGAACGTGTCGTAACCAAGATCCAGAACATGAGGGCTTCAAGAGCGGGGGGTTGGAGTCATCTGGCTGATGGCGTGGAGCCAGGTCTGACACGAGATCTCGAAACGCCAAACCAAATCCCTGAACTCCCGAAACCCCCAACTTGAAGAGCCTGAAATACTCCCCAGACCCTGATCCCTACATCTTTAACCGTAAACCCTGGACCCTAAATTTTAAACCTCAAGCGGCCACCGAGCTTGGGTAGGTGCTCGCATCCGCGCTGGGTCTCGGTGCTGCCGGCGTAGCTTTCCGGTGCCGGGGACGCTTTTCGAGGGGTCAGGCGTTGGGTGTATATAGGGCGTTTCGGGTTTGGGGTGCTGAGAGTCTTGCAGGGAAGATAAGGGTTCTAAGTTCTATGAGGCTGTAAGGGTTTTCTCTACCTTCGGAGTTACATGTAGACCCCTTCGTGATCAGCCCCCTCCCTTCTGTAGGGATTATAGTACGGATCCCGAATTCTGGGAGATGCATCTTCTATCAACATGACAATTGCATCCTTCCTCAGAACATCTCTAGACAGTTTAGGGTTTAGGGTTTAGGGTTTAGGGGGCTTGACAGCCTTGAATCTCGATCAGCTTTCAATCTTACACTTTCGACAGCAACCTCTCACCCTTCAAAGGGTCAACATCGAGCCTGAGACTAGCAACGAACCCCGCTCTGAACAACTCCTAAAGACAGGAACCCCCCCCACACCCAACACCCCGGGGCCTAAAACCCTCAAGCCTGAAATCGAAATCCGACACCTAAACACGTACACCCCACACCCCAAACTCGAAGCCCCTGAGCTTCTAAAGCCTGCAAACCTCCCTTAAAGCCCTAGAGAAATCCAAATGCAACCCTGGTAAGACTCTACGGAACCTTTTGTGGAGCCATGAATAAACCGGAAGAAGCTCTTCCAAACCCTTATAAAACCCTTCGGAAACCTCTTTGGGGAGCCTTTACAACGCCCTAAAACCCGCCGCCCCTCCGAGGGACTGCCCCGATGGGGATGACGGCGGCATCGACATGGCGGTGCGCTCGGAGCAGAACCCCAGATGCATCTGTCGTCCGAGGATCCGGAGCCTGAAACGCTGTAGGGTTTAGGGTTTAGGGTTTAGGGTTTAGGAGGGTTTGGGGTTTAGGGTTTAGGAGGGTTTAGGGTTTAGGGTTTACTGCGGTAGGACGAAAGTTCGTCGCAGCCTGTATGTCGCTCTTGAACAGGACACAAACCCCCTTTTCCCCCTAGACTCCTCCACGCAGTCCTCCGTCCGGAGCATTATAGTAGTATAATTTTATTCCCGTGGATTAATTCCTCCGCTAGCCAGGCCACGTAAAATGCACTTCCAAGTACTCC